TGGTTCTTGGTAGGCAGCTGGAATCAGATAGTGCTGAAGGCACCAGAGACAACTTGCAGTTGGCTTGTCATTTCAGTCAGCGCGCTCTCGCGCTCTCTCTCTCTCTCTCACACACACACACACACACACAGAGGGAAGGAGGGGGAGCAGAGATCTTGTAGTATGCTAACACTATAGCTATTGTACACATTTGAAGAGGACTAATATCAGGCTCAGTTTTGCTGTAAGTCATAGCTGTATGGAAACTCAGTTTCTCAATCTCTTAACCATGGGGCTATAGGATTATCTGCTACCTTGCCCCCACGTAACATTCCTTTCAAACCAGAACCTGCAACATGCATTTGACGCTAATTCACAAACCTTGGTTAATGTGAGAGCTGTGGTTAAGCCTGTAGGAAGAAGATGGGGTAGAATTCTTCCTGAAGAGGGATGGGGGGGGATAGCATGCAATCTAACAGTTTGCATCCTTCATTTTATCCCTAGTGGGTGGGTCTGGGGGAATTACATGTGCGCTCCAGCTCGATATCCTGGCCTTTTACCTGTCTTGTGCTGAACAGTGAACACTCAGCATGAAGTGCTACATTCCACTCTTGTCACTGTATCTGGTATGTAGCAACATGTATTTCAGATTCTATTTTGCACTTCATCCATCTGCCTGACAAAATCGTGCCACTTTCAAAACTGCTCTAGGTTGCTGGCATAACACTTAGAACTAAAGAGTGCTAACCAAGTGGATTTAACACCAGCAACATTCAGTTTTGCTCTCTTTGCCTCACCCCTTTATTTATGCTCAGGCTGGGAAGCATTTTAGGGACAAACCATGAGTTCAGGTTTTTCAGCGAGAACCTTCATATTTTCCCTTCTGCAGCCATGACCAAAGTAGCCTACTTCTCCAGTCCTGTCAGGATCCTTAAAAATGGTTTATTAGCTGCTGGAAGTTTGATTCTTGATATGTTAAAGGTGTAAAGGGTTTACTGACTTTTGTGGGGATAATAGTTCATCTAGCCTAGACTGACAGAAAGATGAATAAGTGAGTTATAGATCAAATCAAGTCAGAACTTGCCCTGCAAGCAAAAATGAAAAAAAACTGAGGCTTTCATATTTCAAACACATCATGAGAAGACAAGACTCATTGGAGAAGACAATTATGCTAGGGAAGGCAGAAGGAAAATGGAAGACCAGCTATGACATGGATTGAGCCCATAAAGAAAGCCACAGCCTTGGACTTGGAAGAGCTGAGCAGTGACAGGACATTTTGGAGGGCATTCAGTCACAGGGTCTGTGTAGGTTGTAGAAGACTTGACAACACAGAACAACAAGTAGTTCATTGGTTAAGGATGGCTTTGTAAGAAGGCTGCTCTGTTTGCTTTTATATGTGCTAAATTGACACCTCTCACTGATTATTCTTTCCATGTCAGTAAACACAAGCATCTCTGTGAGTAGCACTGGAACAGTTAACCCTGCTTGTTGACCCACACAATCTGTAGAGTTTTCTCAGTGCCCTCGATCTCCACCCTAATATGATGAACAGCAGGAGTATATATATTTGGTATTTTCACATCATGGAGTGATCTACACTCAGTGTTTTGCCCTAAAGCTGCGTCTTGAAATGGCAGTGTCTGCAAACTTTTCCAAAGCAATTCGTTTCTTTTCTTTTGTTTGAACAAGTTTTCTCTCTGCTGTACCACTTGCAAATGGCAGGACTTTCTGTCCCACTTCTTATATTTGGGGCTAGTTATATTAGGCAAGCTGATCTAAAGAAATAACACAGCCTCAGAAGTGGGTAAATCTTTGCTTAAATAGCCTAGTGGCCTCTGTCACTCATGTGTGCAGAATGTCTAAGCGTATTGTTCAGATCAGAGTAATATGGGTCCTCTGAGAATAGGGCAGAAGAAAGCAGGATGCCTTTTTTAATGGTGCAGATAGGAATTCACATGATGGAAACAGGTTAAAACAGCTGAAAGTATTAGCTTATAAAAGGCTGCTACAAAGCTCAGTTGTTAACTTAGCATCTCCTTTTTTCTCTGTGTGACTTGAATTATTATAGGATAATGTGGTAAACTCCTCAAAACAGAAAGCAGATTAAATAGGCTGCTAAAAGTATCACTTGCTTGTATCTCAGGGATGTTTTTCCTTTTCTTCACATATTGTTTCTTGTCCTGAAAAGCTGCATCCAAAATAACACTTAAGGGTCCAAACCAATGCTAAATTAGCTATGGTAACGGAAATGGACTTCTTCAGCCCCTCCTTCTCATGGCAGCTGCTGCAACCCTCTGAAAATGCTATTCAGAGCCAGGAGAACTTCTTGAATAGAGTGAGCTGTGCATTGTGGATCCCCCCCCCCCCCCCCAGTAAACTGAGTGAAGGGACCTTCCATGAATGGAGCTTTTCCTCTCACGTAAGGTCCATTTCTTTCATGGAAGGCAGAACTTAAGTGCAATCTCTGATGAGTTCTTGAATGAGTTCTTGTTTTGATAGTCAAACGTATATAACAATTGTCATGTTCGTAAAATAAGCCTGCCCCAGTAAAAATATTCTTACACGCATACAATTTGTGTTCTGTTCAAGATGCTTGCTAAGAATTGTCACAGAATATAGCATAGTGAATTGTACACTATTTTACTCTTTGTCCTCGAAATTCAATTGTCTTGCTAACTTTAAGAAGACTGTACCATCTCCCTGTATTGTACTGAATATCTCAGTTCTATAGGATCTTGACTATTTTTTTAAATACCAACCCTGAGTTAAAACAATGGCAGTAAACAGGATAGGAAAAAACCTAGAATGAATATTATACAATATTCAATAAATTGAATATATGCTTTTCTTCAGCAAACCTCAGTGGTTCAAAGAAGAGCCTTGGAGCGTGTAGACAGAGCTGCTGTGAGCTCCTGGGCTACCTTTTCTTCTGCGTAGACTGGGACATTCTTGCCTAATGCAGGGTCACTTGAGGACGTTTTCTGGTGCTGTCAGGATGCTCTTATCTTGCAGGCACAGCATGCACTCCTGCTCTTCTCTGTTACTTAGAATTCTTAGCTAAAGGGGAGAAAAGGGTCTCAAGAGAATATAGGGGAGGGAGATGTGCAGTGCTAATAACCCTAAGGGGGAAGAGGAAAAGAGAAATCACTTGGAAGTGGATATCAGAACAAGTCAGATGTCCCACAAAGAATGGGGAAAATCCATTGTGTATTTGTGGAGGAAATATAAATTCACAGTAAGAAGCATTTATGTTGTTTATATCCCAAAACAAGCTGATGGCTAAATAGAAAGAATAAATTCCAAGACCCTGATTTCTGAATAATGCTACAGCTTTCACTACCTTTTTACTTCAGTAGGGATTTCTGATTCTTAAATCAACATTTTCTTCCAGTCTGGGGAAGATTTGCCTCAGTTTGGTTGGAAGGAATCTGAAAATTGGTGATTCTCATAGAACTGATAGCCTGGTTGCATAAGTATAGAATCTTTCCAGTATGTGTAATTTCAGCTAATAGTTATCAGTCAATCTGCTTACCAAAACTGGATTTCTGCTACTGAGTGTTACATAGCCTGATGGGCCAAGAATTAGCTACCTAGTTTCTGCATGCTTTACATAATAGCTTATCCCTCGAACCTAAAACAATCTTCTTTCTTTCCATGTAATGTAATTCATTTGGTTTCTACAATAAACAATGGCATTTTGTCATCTTTTTATAGAGAATGCTAAACCAAAACATATCAGGACAGTTAAAATTATTCAGTTCCTTAATATATGTGCTCCACTGTTTATAGCAAGGATGGTTGTTTACTTTTGCATAGCTCCTGGCCTGGTATGCATGACACAGGAACTCTGCTTAAAACAAAAACCCTAAATTACCATGAATGAGCCAGCTTGTTTACACAGCTTGATTGCTCCAACCTGGCTTCTCCTGCCAGCAGGAGCAGCTAAACAACCCAGGAAAGTACCATCCCTAGCTCATTTAGTGGAGCATCTGAACGCAGAAATCTGGTGTGTCTCCTTTTTCAACAAGGTAGAATAAGAATCCAGGGCCCTTGGGTTTAGGTGCTTCCACTGGCAGGAAAAACTAAGCAGAAATGTCTTTTGATTCATTCAAAGTAATCCAGCTTTTTAAAATACACACATACACTGTAACATGCAAATTGAGGCACTGGTGCCCCAATTGTGTTCCTTAATATATGTGCCCCAAAGTGTTTAGGGCAATAAAATATGTAAAAACCTTTCCCTTGTATATGTGACTTCATGCTCTGTATAGAAAGCAGTTTTGTGATACTTCAGCTTGATCCTCCCACATATTCTCTTTAAATTTGGCCATTGATAAGATTATGGGGCTGGGAATGAAAACAAGCCAAACATTTGGAATATTCTTATTTAACAATAACTACATTGTTGATGAAGCAGGTAATATTAAGGGGATAGGAATTATTTCCAATTTTTAAAAAATAATCAATAGATTTTGAGTTGAAAGGACAAGTGCACAAGTAAAGGATCCAGGTCTCCCCACCCTGCATAGGAATTAACACTAGAGGTTATTGCAGAAGCCAGATATGTTGCTTTAGTTGTAGTGCTTTATAAAGAACAGTAATCCCAAATATGATACTTTGATTTTACATTGATTTGTAATCCTTATCAAATACATATATTAAATAAGAATTATATTTAAATTATTAAGTTTCACAAGCATGTATTTAATGCAATAATTTCTGGAAGAAATAACTGAAGTTAGCTTTGATTTTTGTTTGATTTTTTTGGCTTGCTTCCTCAAGAGCTTGTTCAAATCTGGTATAGGGAAATCATCAGTCTGTATTTCACAAAGCCTCCTTACTCCAATAATATTCAAAGAAATATGAATTATATCTGTATTTTGCTTTGTGTGAGGGTATATAGCCCCATCTCGCTACTGTGGTGCAGCTCACATTTTCTTTTTTGCATCGCATAATCTTGTTTGTTCCAGTTGTCAGCTTAGCTATCTTTTAAACTTGCCTTCTGATGTTGTTCAATCCAGGTTGGGATAAGCATTCCTATGGCTACCATGGTGATGATGGGCACTCCTTCTGCTCTTCAGGGACAGGGCAACCCTATGGACCCACCTTCACTACTGGTGATGTGATTGGTTGCTGTGTGAACCTCATCAACAATACCTGCTTCTACACAAAGAATGGGCACAGCTTAGGTAAGCAAACAGACCTTTGGCCCAACTCTGCATCGTTCCTGAATTCCAAATGGAGAAACTTTAAAGTATCTCTTAGTTCAAGCTCTAACCTGGAAAACTGCTAGGCAGAGGGCTAATTTGGAATTATTTTTGCAAATTCTAACAGGTGTGAATAACTTGTATATTTCAGCATCTACTTTAATCTTGTTTGTTTTCCATGATATCTTTGCCTCATCTGGCAAGAACTTTGGTCATTTAGATCAAAAAACTTGCATTAGATATAGCTGTCAGCTGCAGAGCCAAGTCCACTTCATTTTTTTCTGGAAGCGTAGAACTGTAAAGGCACACTCCCATTTTTTATTATTTTTTATCTAAAGCAAGAGTTTAGGGCCCTACACTTTCTGTGCATACAATGAAGCAGGTTGTCAGCCTCCATACAATGCAGTTCTTTGTTGGAGTAAATTTCTTTGATGTAAGCATATAAGATAGAGAAGTGGGGAGGCATCCAATCAATTTTCATTCCATGGATTCTTGAACTCACTGTAAAACGTTATAGGAGTTGCCTCCTCAGAGATGGTTTGTGAATAACTGAACTTTTAAAATGTTATGTCTTTTCTTTATCCACAAAATCTAGTGATTTTCACCAATTTGGATAACTTTAAAAGGGGATCAGATAAGATTCTGGAGCAGAAGGCTATCAGTGGTTACTAGTCCTGATGACTATATGCTATCAGAGGAGGTTGCTAGGAAATGTAGACTAGAAGGGGCTGTTGGCCATTGTTTGAACAGAAAGCTGGATTAGGTGGACCTTGGTCAGATCAAGCACAGCTGTTCTTATGCTCAGCTGTCCTGTTACCAGACCTTTCAGTTTTGCTCTCACAGATAGCTTTGCTGAAGGGAAGATTTATCTCTCTCTCTTTTAACTTTTTCCCCCTTTGGAAGGCAAAGGCTATATAGAGGTCAAGCCTATTTCTAAAAGAATATGTGTTCTTTTGAAGCATCCAAATTACTTATTTGAACAAATGTTACGTTGCAATTCCATTAGCAGTCATGTTTTTAATACCACATCCCTCCCTATATAGTGCTTGTTGCCCTCTCCAGCATGGAGCTTCGCTGCCCTGTACGTGTTAAAGCTGCTGCACTTGGCTAAAACTGGAAGCAATCTGTCCTGAGATGCTCCTATTGGGTGACAGTGTTCTAAATGCCTGTAGAACAACTGTGTCACCAGGGATGGGCAGCCTCTCGTGCAAACTCCAGTTAGATTAAATGCACAGTGACTTGTTCTGGCTGGAAGGGAGAAATAGGATGAGCTATCCTTTCTGGTAATGTCGATTTCTCAGATGTATTCTTGGGCCAGTGCAGATAGGTCAGCTGTGTGTCTGACAAAATTCCAGTGATAGGGTGTTGCACCACAGACAGCAGAAATGCAGTGTTCTCTCTGAGTTTTGTCAGTTTCTGTAACGCTCATCGTATTTCTGATCTTACCTGGATATGATGTCTTTTGCTGCAGGTTTTCTTTAAATGGGGGAAGTTGTAGAGGGCATAAGGTAGCTCTGTGCACGTCTGGTAGTGGAATTCTCTGGCATTTGCAGACTTCCTCTGGGCCAAGCTGAGCAGAAGTCTGCGATTGTTCACGGAGCAAAGAGTGTGGAACTGGCAATCTTCTTTTGTGTCAGGTGCAACAGTACAAGGGCTTCTGCATGTGGCATGCAAGAGGGGTGCCGCTCATGCAGCGATCACACAAGGCTTCATTCCTGACAAGCCCTGTGCAACTGCTTGCAGCATCCCTCTTCCACACCCCTTGTAGCAAGCGGTTGGGTAGCTTCAGGTGGCTGACACTGCTTTGGCAGTACGCGGGGCTTGGTCCATGGCAGGCATCCGGTGAATGCTTGCCAGGAATTTGGATTCAGGGCTGCTGCAAAAGTGGACCAGCCTCTGGGGAGCTAATCTGAGTTCCGCCCCCAGATGAATTCTTCATGCATTCCTACATATATCACAGTGTTCCAGATTGACACATTTGTCTTTAGATAATGGATCTCTACATTAATATGTGAGGTTGTATGAATGTCCTACATCAGTGGATGTATAAAGCACCATCCATATTCATGACATTTTGCACAGCAAAACAAGGTAAGTCCCTGCCCCATGGAACTTAAAATCTCAATTTTGCCTGTGAAGGCGGTGGGTGAGGCTGGAAAGGGAAAGATCTGGATAGCGTGATATATATATGCTCAAGTGCATTTGCAGCTACTTCGGCTTCCTTTCTCATTAAAAGATTGCATCCACCTTAGGTAGCTTAGAATCAGAGTAAGTAGGCCATTACTTGTATTGCCAGAAATGTTTATTTCCCATGCCTTGAGTTACATATGCCACAATATCACCTGCCACTCCATTCCTTGATTCTGACATGCTGACATCCAGATTAAAATAAACAAATCCAAATAATCTGATTTTTTTGGAGAGGCATAAAATATACGTATACCTGTACATTGTGTGTGCTTTTTTCTCATAGGAGACACTAGAAAAATGCATTCTGTTTATGCAGGAGAGTGAAGTAGAATAGTGTTGAGGAGGCAGAATGGACAGAACCATTTTCTACTGCAGGTGGGAGGGGGCTGCCAGCTGGGAAGGTTGCTTCTCTGCACAGAATAGAAAACAGGGAGAAAAGGTTCTGCCCCAGTTGATGTGCCATTTACCAGTTTGCTCTCTATTGCAGTGCATTCTACCACTTCAGCACTTTTGCTTATTTTGCTGCATGTGTAGACCACGATTCAGCCCCATGAAAAGACAGCAACTCATTCTGCATGTCTGTGCTACAGCAGGCATCTGTAGGAATGCATTTATTTCTCCCCTTACCTCCACTTAATTTCCTTTGGCTTTTTCTATAGTATCTTGAAGCTTTGAAAGAGTTCTATTGCCATTAACAGAATTTCATCAAAGTTAACATTTTCCTTAATCTCATAAGATTTCCTGTGCAGGAAATGTCCTAGTTCAGATCCTTGGTGTGTATATTCTTTTGGAACAAAATCCTTTTACTCCAAAGCAGCTCTCACTGGGGCCCTGTTATAGAAACATAGGAAAAGGTGAGTGAGAAGGGGGTCTCCTGGGCCATCTAGTCTGATCCCCAGCTCCACCTGGCTCAGCTCATGTAGTGCCCAATGTGTGGTTGTCCAGTCATTCCTTGAACACCCTCACTCACTGATGGAGCCTCAACCACCTCCCCTGGAAGTTCATTCGGTATCCTAGGGGTTCTAACTGTCAGGAAGTACTTCCTGACATCCAACCTGTAGTCTGATTCTTTGAGCTTTACCCCACTGGAACGTGTCCTGCCCTCTAATGTTATATTCAGAATCAGTTGTGGGCCTGTATCTGAGACTATATTGGCAACTTAACTTGTCCTAATAATCAATGTATTTGCATAATGAATTATACTTTCTCTTTGTGACTTTCTAGTTCAGCTCTATGTTGAACTATAGTTTTGAGGAACATTGGCTGCAATCCCTACATATTATTTATTTTATTACTTCTCCCTTCAATAGCCAAGGCACTGTGGGCAGTTTCCAGCAATTACTCTGTAGTAAGATATATGAAATGCTCTAAGATTTATTGCTGATTAAGCATGCATAGGATCTCTTTGTGAAGATTCCCAAGAGGCAGAAGTTCACAGGAGATAAGCATGCATCGCAATCCTGCTTCACACACACACACATTGCTTCTGCTAGGCTTAATCTGGAATTTGTTGATAAAGTGTAGTATGTTTTATAAGGCAAATGGGGAAAAATCCATTGTCTTAATTCTAATATTTTTCCCCCCACAGGTATAGCCTTTACAGATCTCCCTGTAAGTACAACTATTTTCAGTGTTTTAACAAAAGATGCAAATTGAAGGGAGTGGGAAAGTGACTGGGATGCATTAATGTCTTCTCTTTGCCATGTCATCTGAAAATAGTTAGTATTAGGCAGCTTGAGTGCATTGCAGGCAGGTCTGGCAAGTTTCTCAGAGAAACTAGTTTAAGAAAGAGTGCTAGAAATTAGCAGGCTTTTCCTGGCATTTACCAGGAAACTAAATTAAAAGTATTGGAATATCTTTAGCCATTTTTATTAGCTTTGCTTGTTTCTTTAAAAGAAACAATACAAAACAAGACCTCTGCCTAAAATAAAACATGACTCTTATGTTTGACTTGGCAGCCTTGAGTAACCTAAAAATAGCATAAGTTAGTGAATTGTTAAGCTGTGCAAGCCTGCTAGGGAAACAAAGAGGAATTCCTGGTTTCTGAAATGTTCCATTCTACAAACGACATCTACAATCCAGACAGTTTGTTGTCTTTTGGGCCCATTGGTAGAAGTGCAAATCCAGCAACTGACCTTAATGGTTCTGCTGAATCAAGTCATGTTCTCCTTTTCAGTGTGAACAAATATGCAAGACTGCTTGACCCCTTTTGGTAGCATTTTGAATGGCTATCTCTCTGAGCATTGGCTGTTCTCTGGTATTTTGTACTTGATTCCAGTGTGGATTGCAAAGTTACATGTCTTGGTTTGGATGGGAATATTGTGACAGAAGTTAGCACATAACAATCTAGAGTATGTGTTACTATGGAATTATAGGCGGTTGTTTAAATTATTAGTAGTTATGTGTGAACCCTGCACTATGGTTTTATTGGATGCTAATCACAAACAACTTAGAGTTCACAACCAAACAAACAGTGGGTTCTCTTCTTGAGTTGCTTGTGCTTAAAACCCAAAGCATAATGCAGGGTTCATACATAACAATAACCCAGTATTCAGCCCATACTCAATCCAGTGGTAGCTGGTGACCAATGAACCTGGAGGTGCAGAAAGCACGTTATAAGAGATAGAGCCAAAGGGTCAATAGAGGTGAAGTGGAGCAATCACCAGCATCCTAAATTACTTTTTTAAAAAGCCCTGTAGCCCTAGGATGCTAAATTGATCTTTTAAAATGCTCGAGAAGCTTCACTACACTAAATCTCTTTCTTTTTTAATGCCTGCAATGCAAGCACAAGGAATGGTCTTTTGGGACATATATTTAGAGCAGCAGGACTAAATGCTGCTGCATAGGGGACTCCTATGGAGGCTTTTCTTCCTTCAACACAAGCATGCATGGAATGTTGTGATGAAAATGGGGGGGTTACCCCCTTCCCAAAACACCACAGTTTTGATCTGAATTGAAACTATACACACTTAAGTAAAACGAGGATAACCCTGAATCCGCTTCTTTTGCTCTGAAACTTGAGTAGGTGGGAGGAAACTCAAGCTTTGCAGCAATCCTGGGGAAAAAGGGTTTCCTTCTGACTGGTTGCCCCTAATCAGTTCTATGTAATAAGGAATTGTTTGCATTTTAAAATGGTGGTTAGTGCAGGAGCATGATCTCCTGGAAGCCTTTCCCTGCTTGTCTGTGGGGAATCTGTGCTTGTCTGCCAGAGTAGCTGCCAAAATGGCATAATCCCAGACCAAGAGTTTTTCCTGGTCCTGCACTGGCAGCAAGCTAACTTGGATTGTTTCCTTGTTTTGTTCTGGTGCAGAGAAGGTAGGGCTCTGCCTTCCCCTTCCTTCTGATTGGTTTTGCTCCTAACTAAACCCATTCTTAACCCACACTTTGGGTTGTCATTATTGGTAGGTTTCTGTACACTGTTTTCTCTTTTAAAAATACATATGAGTAGGAGGTGGGATGATTTTGCTAACCACTCATGGCTGTAACATAGGGAAAAGCAGAAACATATACCAGCATGCACTTTTCAAGTCTGAGACATTTTATAAATTCTATGAAAAGATGAGAGGCCAAAACCATTGATGCATATTGACCATATGCAGGTGCTGAAATGCCAAATAGAAGATAGCATAACAAATCTACTTTTAATGTTTTAAAGTATCTTGAGAGAGAAAGCAAATGTATACATTTAATGCAATAATGTATAATGCAAGTCCTGTTCTTGCTTAGCTTTGGTTAAATCCATTTAATAACCAAGGGAGAAAACTTTCTATGTGCTTTGGTCTTCAAATCTCAGCTATATCTGAATTGCTGTCTACTTTGCCAGGTCAAGAATGTTGCCAAAGTCTTGAGGCCTTCTGCTTTTAACTATAAATGGGGTGGGTGGGGATGTGTGTTTGTGATATGAAATAAAGATTCCTCCTTATTCTGTCTCCCTGGAACATATATGAGGGAAGAATTAAGAACTGTAATATAATATAAGGCAGTTACCCAGGATATACCAGAGAACAATTTTCTAGCAGTTGATACCATGATTATTTTGAAGTCTCAGGAGATGAGGTTTTCATTGGTATTATCAATCTGGTTATTTCTCTGCTCCATCTGCTGTAACATTCAAACCTCTTATCTCTTGATTAGATGGTTTATATTTAGCATTTGCTCTTTTGGAGAGGGTTGGTCCAAGGAATAGTGAATAAGCAGGCCTCTCTTCGTATAAAAGCATTATTATATAATTGATTCTAGTAATTTTTTAAAGTACTTCTCTGTTCTCTAGCAAGTTTCTGCCCTAGCTAGTTTTCTCTCTGATTTGCTTCCATGGATTGCAGCACAGCTAGAAAGTGGTACTCAACTTGCCTGTGTACTAGGCATGCTGATCTTTTCTATTCTTCCCTCTGGCCAGCCCCTGGATAAAATAATTGAATGCTCCATCTTCTAGATGAGGAAGTTGATTAGTTCATGTATCTTCCACATGTTCCAGGGCTAAAGCATTTTGATCTCTTCAGGGAAATGGAAGTCAAATCAGTGCATGGTTCTGAATGATGATCCTCTTCATGCTTCCCTCATATTGGCAAGAGCTTTATGCAGTGCAGGTCTGTGGCATCCTTGTCTACATTAAATTTGATTTAGCATGCATCTACCTACACAATGGGTGCCACTTCAAAAGTCTTCTCTTAACTGTTTGATTCAGGAAGAGTCTTTGATCTCAAGTCTTTTGAACACCAAGTTTATCCTCTCTAATACAAAAGCTTTCTCCTTTCAGTCATTCTCTTGCTCGAATGATTGTTAAGCAATCTTATTCTTTTCATTCTTCAGATTTTGCCTGTACAGTTCTCTTTAAGATAGCCAGGTCTCAGTCACTCCCAAAAAGTAAGACCTTCCAATCCTTTGGCGCTTCCGTTTTTCACACCTGTTCTTAAGTGTGTATTGCAGATGGCAGTGAATTTCTTTTCTACTGCGTTCTGTTTTTGTAACATCACTTGAGTTCAAAATCAGCAGTGAAGGAGGCAGACAAAATATCTTCTTCTCTGACTAGTGTTAGGAAAAGCTTTGGATTGCAACTATCCTGTGAACAGCTGGTGGACTGACCCTATCAGAGGTACTTCATAGATTTCTGTCCTAAAACGGATGCCCATTCCCTCACCCTTGATCACCCAGTCCATCACTGGTTATACAGGTCTGGATAGACTGTGCAGGGCCACCTCTATTCAACATAAACTCAGTGTCCTCCGTGCACTGGCATATGAAAAATAATGCATTTCCAGACTGGAAATGTTTTTCAGGAAAAAAAGGAGAGCACGTGCCAATGACATATTTCCAGCAAAATCACTAGATTTCAGGGGTTATTTAATCATAGTTTAACCCTAATACAGATGACAAATAACTGTGTGCTTCTGATCTTAGCACTGAGTTGTGTTGTCCTCATTCCAGTAGTTGAAGCATTCCAGGGTTTTTCTCATCAGTCCCAAGGAAATAGAAATACTATAACATTGGGTGTCTAAAAGTGGCCTTTGGAGTCAGGAAGGTTTCTGGGTGTACACTATTGGAGTAGTAGGTTTGAGAAAGAAAATGCGAAAATAAATGCCTTTAGGAACTGTTCATCGGCAAAAACAAAGCAACACCAAAAGACTTCCTGGCTGAAGACTGGCAATGCTGCAGGGAAATATGGACATGATTCTCGACTGCCTACTGTAAATGATTAGAAATAATAGGCTAGAGATACAACCTGTGAAAAATACTAATATTTACTGAGTGGCATGGCATCTTGGAAGGAGCAGAAAATATGGATGAGCTAATATGTACTAAAGAATTTGAGGTCTTCTCTTGTTGCCCAGATATATTTCAGGCTAGCCTTCTCCAGCATGGGTGCCTCCAGATATTTTGGTTTACAGTGGCCATCAGCCATATGATAGTAAGCAAGGCTACTTCCTTATAGGTGCTGCTGTGTTTTTCCTCTGCTTATGGATGGGCATTTGATTCCTAAAATTTATTTAAAAACTTACCTGTTACTATGGATTTCCATTTGGGTTGGACTAGAAAATTTTGCCTGCTTCTAGATGCTGGAAGCAACACTTTTCCATTTCTCAATAGCAGCTTTTCTTTCTAAGTAGCTTTCTCTTTCTTCTAACTGGGGTGCTCTTAAAGTCCTATCCAATGCAGTGCTTGTTTCTTTTCTAGTGAAGTGCCAGGGTGTATTTACAAAATATATTTCCCACAGGTTTAAAATAGCATAAAGGTAAGGAGTAGTTTTGGAACCATTGGAATAAATGGAGAACATTCCATTCAGCCTCAACAAATAATTAGAATGCCCTCTGTGACTGTCTTTGGGGAGAGTGCAGCTTATATCATGATCTGTTGCATTGCTGCTGCCTGTTTCTAGGAAGAATGAAGAGCCCCATGGACAACAATTTACATTGCCTGTGTGTTGAATTGTTCTCTTTCACTTCTAAACTACTGTTGAAATTCACAAAAGCTCCAATAAAAATCTGATTTCTATATCAAACTTGTTGTTTGTACCTAGCATTAGTTCTTTACAAATTGTTTTCTATGATGTGCTTTCTGAGCAGTATCCATCACATCTGTCTGTCCAAGAAACTTCATTCAAGCTTTCTCTAAGAAGATTAGAAAGAAATGTATGTTTTTACTTTCTTCTGTAAAGCCCAGGGTTTTAACTTAGGTTTCTTCCTTTGGCAGGCTAATCTGTATCCCACTGTGGGGCTCCAAACACCCGGAGAGATAGTGGATGCCAACTTTGGGCAGCAGCCTTTTGTGTTCGACATTGAAGATTATATGAGGGAGTGGCGAGCAAAGATTCAGGGCACCATTAAGAGGTTTCCCATAGGTGACCGGCTAGGTGAATGGCAAGCCATGCTGCAGAAGTGAGTGGGAGTTGTGATTTCTTTGAACTTAATGGTCAATTTAAACCAACAGTTGCTATAGCATGGTCTGTGATGAAAGAACATTTCTAACCCCTCTTCCTTTCTGTTGGTCTCCTCTGTGCCTGATGAGCAATGTGTTGTCAGAGAGATCCCTTAACGCAAATGAGGAAGAAGTGAGCTGGCAGCTTGCCCCACGCCTGTTTGGTGGAGCTCAGAGCTCTGCAGCCACACTGACCTTGCCTTCAGTAGTGATCTCTAAATGATGTGCCACTTTTAGGAACCTGCCTGACTTGATTACATGTCAGCCCCTCTGGAGACAGATCACTCGCAACTGTGTGGGATCCAGATGTGAAGGGAAGATAAAATCCGGAGACCAGTAACTTTTATCTGTCTGTGTCCCAGAAGCAAAGAAGGGAAAGCAAGGCATTATGCATATGTAGTTCCTGAGCAGAATGGTAGTAGTGATGAAAATTTTATCATTTCTGCTTCCCATAGAAGAAAAGCTAGAATATAGATTATAAATGAAGCTTGACAGAATGAACAAGCAACCTGTTTTAATACTTATCCCCCTTCTATACTCTGTTATCTTGAGATTTATTTATACATTCAAAGTTTTTTGAACTGCCCTTAAAATGTTTCAGGGTGGTTGATAACACTATGATTAACACAATATTCTGTCTGGTTTTCAGAAGGATTAGTTAGACCTGTAGAACAGCAAAAGGTCTCAATAAAGCAGGCAGTGTATTTCAGTGGTTGATAACTGACGCTTCTAGAGGAGTCTTTTATCATGCATTTAGCCTGGTAAGAGTTGGGTTCAGGACCATTGTCTTCCAGTTTCAAGCCTCCCATGTTTGCTCACTGCTTCTTCCATCTTTTTTCTTTCCACAAAAAAAAAATTCAGTTGAAGAAAAGACAGAATAGCTACACAATGCTATTTTATTAATACTGCTAGGAACAATCCATCTGGAAGCACCCCTGTTTATCAATAAGTTGGCCCAACATCACTTGCTGTTCTCTTAATACAATATCTTTTTGGACCCTTCTGTGCAGAGATGCCAATAATGATGATGATTTGCAACAGCATTCATCCAAGGTTCCTTTGCCTTAATTATACTTCAGCAAAGAAGGAACAGAGATTGTACACTCTTCCCTCTTGATGACTGGACTCCTGTACTGTCTCTTTGTACGAATGTCACAATCCCTTCACCTACTGTGGCTACAATAGCTTATTTTCACAGTAGAAAGTGAAGAAAAGGCAACTCTAGGTTACACCTGACTGGCCTCACATTAACATGATCTTGCCTGAGGAATATTTTTCTTTCAGATTTATTGTGGATCTTTGCTGACAGTGATGCCCATTGTTTCAATCCCTTTTTATGTTTCCCAGTATGGTCTCCTCCTATCTGGTGCATCATGGGTACTGTGCTACAGCGACTGCCTTTGCCAGGGTGACGGAGAGTGCAATCCAGGAAGAACAGATCTCCATAAAGAACAGACAAAGTAGGTGTATACTTATACCTTTTGTTGCTTTTCCAAAAGGATTGCAAAGACTACCTTGCCTGCCTATAGCACGGCGTAATTCTAATGTCTGCATACTCAGTTGCCAAACACAAGTGGTCAGAAGGCAGAACATCAAAGCCATGCACTGCTAACTCTTCTATGGCTGCAGTGGCCTGTCCTCCAATATCTCATTGTTTGCTCCATCATTTGATACCCCCAGACTAAAGTTTTGGAAACTGTTAGAAACCAGATAACCCACTCTCAAGAAAAGGGTGCTCTTATTTGATTTTTTCTGACTAGCTTTACATATTGCCCCTGGGCTTACTTCACAAAGAATTTGAACTCTTTGCTTTTTAGAACAGAGTGTATTTAATCAAGCCTCTGATGTCCTCATGCAGAATTTTTATATCTTATCTTAAATGCTGGGTTATTTATGTACTATGTTCCCGGACTGTCATTCTGCTATAATGGCTCCTCAAGTGGTTTACAAGAATAAATTTTAGATTTTTATACTCCACTCTTTCAACAAAATCAATTGGAACATCCAGAGAGAGTCCTCTGAAAATTCTCCTAATTAGTATTCTAATTTACAAGAAGTCTTGAAACTACTCAGGTCCAGGGTATTGTAAAAAAGGATTTAAAGGTTAAATATCGGGAATTTCAGTTATATCTGGAAAGTCAGCAGTAGCCATTTGCATGTTTTAACACTTATGCCCATACAGCTAATTTTAGTCAATCTTGCAGCACTGGTAATTTGCCCCAAATTGAATAGTCATCAAAGGGAAACACATTTACACTAATGTTGATGATTTCCTAAAGCATCTGGTCAGACTCCTTCTGCTCAAGTGAGGCTGAAGCTGGCACATAAACCTAAGTACATGCCAGGTTAAACAGCATTCCTGGGCTGCAGCCTGTTCCTTGCTGGGGAGTGTTCCAACTCCATTTAGAATGAGATGAATGCTAATTTGCTACCCCACACAACAGTGCCCCAGTTTTGCCTGAACTGAGAGCTTCAGTTTGTCATCTCTTATGTAATCCATTGCTGAGTCTTTACCACATCACTAAACTCAAATGAAAACCTGCACATAGATCACACCTTCTCCCAAATCCCTGAATAACCTCCCACAGGGATCTTTCTAGATGTTAAACAGCATGCAAGACAGAATATTGTAACCTTTCATAGTACAGTTCATTTGTTTAATATATTTTAATATGCCCCAAAAAGAAGTTCTTTACACGGATTACAAAAATATACCCATAAAAGAAATATTTATATATTTAAAATATAATACAAAATACTGTCTTCTACATCCAGTCATCGCTCCTGTGCAAGAGGTCATATGATGCCATGCTAGGCTAGGTTTGAGCCAGGAAGCAAACTTTCTCCTCAAACCACAACAGCCAAAATGGATCCAAACAAGAGGCAGCATCCTAGGCATGACCTGGACAGCCTTCAGTGGCATCCAGATCCAGGCAGAAATGTCAATTCTTCTCAAAGTGCTTAAGAAAGACCTTTAGTCGGCTACCAAGGGTTCCATGAGTCCTTGGAATCAATTTGAAGAAGGTCCTGTATTATTTGAATTCATGTATTTTGGGTAACCACTGAGTTTGCCTCATTAGAGAGAATCCTTCTGGATTAGTGGGCAGCATACAAATTTTAAAATAAATATATGAATATATTTTTTGATTTTGCTAGGTAGTACTGTGAGCATACAGTGGTGGTGAAAATGTGGCACTGCACAGAGTAGGTAGTTAGCTGTGGTTAGCGTTAATTTGAGTATGTTCAGACACACTTTCAGATTTCTTCCTCTTTTCTGGTTGTCAGCCCCCCCCCCCCCCGCCCATTTTTTTGTCCCAGTTCCCTGGAATACCATGAGCTGACTGGGCTCTACTCAGTGGGAAACTGCGGGGCTAACATGCCCGTGGCCTAGAATATTTCAGCATCTTATAGAGAACTCAGAGTGTCACAAGTGCCAGCCACACCAGCAAGAAACTTCCTCAGGATTCTTTGATGCTCATCAGCCTCCGGGCATGAATCATCTTAAACATGAACCATCGTCTTAAACATGAACCATCTAAATCAAACTTCACCAGGATATGATCTGTCCATTAGTAACACTTCTTGCACTTACAGATAGCCTTTGTGTCTAGCCATAAAGAACAGTTTTAGAGCATGACCTGCCATGTGTAGGGCCAAGCACATTTTGGGACTGTCATAGCAGCCATGAAGTCCTAAACAGCCCCAGGCAAGGAATTGTCAAGGTCACATGGTCAGCAGCCTGGGGGGTCTTCAGTGCCAAATCTGAGGCCGCTTCCATCAGTTAAGGTAGAGAGGGTTAAGCGGTTGGTGATTAGTGCATGAGTAGTGTTCCTAATCAGGCATCCAGGATTAGAGTCACACACTCAGGACCGGTTCTCAGCCGTTCAGACAGAAACCGAATAGACCTCAGTACCATCTCTATCCCTCCATCGTGACTTGACATAGCTAATAATAAATCTAAAATAAGGAAAACAGTCACACCACCAGTAGTGTCTAAGGCCTGGAAAAGAGGACATTTTCCATGGTTGTCAGAACTTTCATTGGGACCCTACTCACTGGCAGAACCAGAAGCTACATCTGCCCTTGTGACCTCACAGGGACACAACCATCTGACCCAGTTGCTAAATAGCCTATAAGGGATGGGGGCAAGATTTTCTCCTGTGGTCTTGATGGAGCGATCAAAGAGCAGCAGTTGAAACAGCCATACCATAAACACCAGCAGGCTCTAAGGGCTGGGGAGTAGATATTTTCCATCATCATGCCCCTCTGAGCTTTCATAAGTCACTACCACATTTTGAAGAAATGCGTTCTCATTTGTAGACCCAGTTCTCATGTAACAGCAAATGTTTGCCGTGCATGAGTAGGAGTGAGCAAGATGTCTCCTCTCCTTGCTTCTGCTTTTAATCAGCAATCTACAGTCATCCAGCTGGGTTGTCAAATGTGAAATGTGAACCTGAAGTTCTGTTTATGTGCTAAATAACCTAGCAGTTAACCCAAAGATAAATGATGGGTTAACCTCTGGGTTGTTCAGCTTCCAAACAGCCAGCATTCTGGGTTCACACACAATACTCAGCAGCCCAACATGGCTGTTTTTAGGCTGTTAAATAACAGCCTAAGTGGCTGGTGTGCTGCAGCAGCATCCCTGCTCAATCCAGCTTGTGCATGTGCTAATTAACACACAGCTTAAAATTGTAAGGTATGCAGATCATTGTCTTCCACCTTTGAGTCCTGTCAGATAGAAACGTATGATGCCGGTATTTTACATAAGATGATTTTTAAATGGTAGGTAAACAATTAGCCTAATACTAGCAATAACCAGACAATCACACTGGAGCAACTGAAATAGCAAAATAAAAAGAATAACTTAATCTAATCACTGAGGGCACAGTGGAAAAAACAAGATTTTACTGCCCTACAAAGAAGAGGCAGGGTTGGTGAAGCCTCCAGGGGGCCCTTGGAGGAAAACCCCCGGCTCCATGTTGAGGCTAAGTTGGCACTGAACCACTGAGCATACCCAGGGCAGGGCCCTGTGACAGATGTTGACGTTTGCAGGAGGGGAGAGCTCTTAAGAGTTGGCTTTGTATTTGTTGCACTTCCATCCATTCTTCCCAGATGTGTTAACAACTGTGGGGAAATACCTGCCTTGATAAGTAGTAAGATAGACAAATGCAAGATTTTATTGTTTACATAAGCAATTACAGCATATGCAGGACTGCCTGCATCCCAGTGATGTTGTTCTCATCTCCAGGAATACAGAAGCTGGTCTTGGCAGGACGAGTTGGGGAAGCCATTGAAGCCACACAGCAGCTATACCCAGGACTTCTAGAGCACAACCCTAACCTCCTGTTTATGTTAAAGTGAGTAAGTCCAGATCCCTCCCGGTAGAGCATGAACTGCAACACGGAGAATGGCTGAGGACAGAAACAGGCTTATAGCACCAGCTTGGCTAGTAACCTGTTCTGAGCAGCAAAAATAGGAGTGCCATCTGGCGGGACACAAGTCGGGTGGCAAGCTGGGGCCTTCCTTGTACCACTCCAGCCTGCCACAGCAAAGCTGGAGGTGTCAAATCTTCACTGAACATTCCGCTCTAAAAAGTCTGATGATCTTTGTAACTGTGGCTTTCTCCTTCTTCAGGCTGTTGCTGTGGGAGCATTCCCTTCTATTCCTGAGAGTTAGCGGGGGCTTAAAAGGCGATTCTGTTCTTTGAAATCTGTTGGAATAAAGCCTCACATAGCGAAAATTTTTGCCCCTCTGGGTTATTAAAGTTAAGCATGCAGGGGATACAGGCTAGGTTTAATTATGTGTTACTAGCACTGTAATGGGGCCTGACTGTTTCTAAGTTATCTACACTTTACAACCTAGTTGGTCCTGTTGAGCAGTGATCTGGCCTATACCACTCTGTTGGGACTGTACATTTTTACTTCCCATGCATCTGTGAGTTTAATGGTGCTAGCTGCATTGCTGAATTGATAGGATAGGCAACTGGATACAAGACTTTGCTGTTAGCATTCCTTTAAAAATAAGCTATGAATGGGATTTACTATTAGTCAGATATCTATTTCTGGGTTCTTGTTTGAAGCATTTTTATCCTGTCCTTTACAAGAGTCTCAAGATGGCACTACAAAGCAGAAGTGGCAACATACAATAGAATATAAATCTAATAAAACCAATATTAAAATCACAATTAAGTCTTAAAATACAGGGAAAATAAAAAGGTTTTAGCCTGGCACTGAAATGAATAAAGGGTTGGCACTAAGTGCTCCTCTCTAAGGAGCAGGTTCCAGAGTCGGGGAACCACCACAGAAAAGGCCATTCTCCAGCTAGCTGCACTTCTGATCTCCTTCAAAGAGGCCTCCCGAAGAAGCACCTCAGACCCGGATCTTAGGGTACAGGCACACATGTAAGGAAGGAGATGCTCCTTCAGATACCTACGCCCTAACCTGTTTAGGGCATTGGATGTCATCATTAACACCTTAAATTGGGCCCAGACTTCAATTGGTAGCCAGTGCAGATGATACAGGATCAGTGTTACATGAGCATACCTACCAGTTCCTGTCAAAAGCCTGGCTCCTCTGTTCTGGACCAACTGAAGTATCTGGACCGTCTTCAAGGGCAGCCCCATGTAGAGCACATTGCAATAATCCAATCCTTTGAAGATGGCATCACAATGCTAATGCTTTACCATGAGAAACAGAGCTGGTGGCAAAGGAATGCTTCCCATGTGATGTAGATAACATTTTAACTGTTCTGTCACCATTCCTGCTGACACTCTCACCTGTGGAACTCCTAATTTTTTTAATAGCAGGAGAAAGATAGGTGTTCCTAGTATTAACTTGTGTTGAATGAAACACTGCCATGTCAGTGCCCTTCCTGGACAGCTCAACAAAGAATTTTGCTCTGGACTGGCTTGGTTTCTTGCCCTGGTTTGAGCTCATTATGCCAGTACCCAATTGCTTTACCTTGGGCTTTTCAATAGGATGCTCAGTTCCTACATCATCCTTTGGGTTTTGGTTGTCTGTTTGCCATGGAAGTATTGCTTTCAGCCCCCGAACACTGTTTTTTAAATGGGTATTTCTAAGAATCCTTCTTTATTCCAATATGTAACTGCCACAAAATGCTTAAGTGCTAGCATAATGCACATAAACTACTGCACTGCATCGTTTTTTTCAATCACGTTGTTTTTAACTCCCTCCTTGCTCCCTTGTGCACAGGTGCAGGCAGTTTGTAGAAATGGTAAATGGAACAGACAGTGAAGTACGTTGTTTCAGTGCCCGCAGCCCCAAATCCCATGACAGCTATCCTGACTCCCCCAACCTAAGTCCCAGGCATGGCTCTAACAATTTGCACATCCATAGCACCGGTAAGCATTTTCTTTTCTGACAGGTGGGTCCTATATGGGTTTGTGCTAGATCACATTATCCTCTCTTCTCATTCTGGATACTACAGTTGGGATATCTTCCCTAGATCCTAAGTTGTGTTCTCTGTGAAGGGGATGGTAAACTTTGTACTGCTTGACACACATTCTGCCAACAGATTGTATGTATTTTGCTCTAACATAAGTTCTGTAGGAAGCCTGAAGTTCTCTCCCTCTCCCCCTTCCCCGTTTACACTCTTATTTTAGGAGCAGCTTCCAGGTCAGATTGTAGTTGTATGTATTGCACTGAAATCCTTGCATATAGTAGTGCCTAAATGAGCCTTGCCTTCTTGGCACCCATGTTCATTACAGGATGCTTGTAAAGCAGCAAAGGCCTCTTTGAGTCTGCTGGTAGCTCCCTCTTGTCTGTGCCTGATGCTGTTTTGGTTACATAAACAACTCCACTCACACTTGATATGAGTTTGACCAGTTCCTTGGTACAGCACAACAGTGATGACAGCCAATTCGTTTGGAAACTCCCAGGTTATCTTTTATGACAAAGAAGAAGGTGCTTTTTATGACTAGGTAGTCCTTTGAATTAATGGACAGTGCCGTGCTAGCTGCACACTTTCCTTAGTCTCCTCAGTTCCCTAACATGTACTACAACTAACGCATATTAAGAACTGTATATTTTACATCTGTGGAAAATGTTCTGTGAAGATACCTTTCCTGGTAAGTTCTTTAAATCCGTTATCCCATATGCTTGTCTTGGTGGGAGTGTGTTAACAAATCAGTGTTCTTTAGGTGCATTCTCCAGGCATTTTCTCTTGTCCGTGCCCATGTATTGGGGGATGAGTGCCTGCTTGCTGGCCCTTACTGGGGTGTGTATCTTCTTTGTGTGCTTCACTGAGAAGTCCTTTGTGGATCATATATTGAAAGATGATAAATATCGCACTAAGTGATGTTAGATTATGGAATGCATTTCCTGGAGAGGTGCACCTGGCGCCAAGTTTATATATATATATTTTTTGGTGCCAGCTTAAAACCTTTTTATTTAATTGCTATTTTAAAAACTAATATTTTATAGTTTATTTTATAGAAAATCGATCTTTTTGTTTTTGTATGTGTTGTGAGCTGCCCCGAGATGCCGAGGCATGTGGTGACGGCATATAAAAGTTTTAAATAAATAAATAGATGCACCAGAAATATCCTCATCATCACATGTATACCCTGCCTTTCTTCCTTTTTAAGAAACTCAAGGCAGCTTACATGCATGTATTTCTTCCTTTCTGTTCTCATAACAGCAGCTGTTTGAAGTAGGTTAGGCTGAGAGTCTGTCATTGGCCTGGAGTCACCCAGTGACCTGCTTGTCTGAGTGAGGGCTAGAACTGGGATCCACCAGATCCCCAGCCCAGCATTCTGCCCACCCACTACACTGGATCTCCAATGCATGGATCAAGCAGCCCATGATGGAGACCAGTGCATATTCAGCCAGCTCTCCTGATGATGTGAGAATGACAGGGATGCAGTCTTTACTCTTGTCCTTCTGTTTTCAGGAGCAGACAGCCCAAGCTGCAGCAATGGAGTCATCTCCATAAAAACCAAACAGAGCCACAGTAAATACCCAGCACTCAGTTCGTCGTCGTCGTCCTCTTCCTCCTCATCCCCTTCATCAGTGAACTACTCGGAATCCAACTCGACAGATTCCACTAAGTCCCAGCAGCACAGCAGCACCAGCAACCAAGAGACCAGGTAGCATAGAAGTCTCTTTCTAGGGAGGTCTGTGTAGCAGCCAGCTGTAATAACAGGTGGTTGACATGGATTCTGTGCTCTGCTGTTTCTGCCTAGCTTTTTTTTTCAGGCTGGCCGAATTCCCTTCAAGTAAATTAACGTTTGTGTTCCCAAAGCAGTATTTTAGTAGCATGCATAAATATTCCAAAAGCTATATTAGCATAACACTTTCATTAGGCTTTTTGGTCATCTGGTTGGTCTAATTGAAGGTACTACATTTACGTGGGTTTTGGAATTTTTCTTTTGGTCAATATGGTTATTTTTTGTTTTGTTTTTCTAAATACATAGTTTTATTTTGAAAATCAATCTGGAATTTGATCAATTCACAGTGTGCTTCAGCCCTCACGGAGGCTGCCAGTTTCCCACTCATTCACTTAGGGAGGGGCCATAGCTCAGTGGTACCTTTCATGCATTGGAGGCAGATGGTCCCAGTTTCCTCCTTCACCCTTTCCAGGCAGGGTTGGACATGCATCTGTCAGGCACCCTGAAGATCTGATGCCATTGCTGTTTGGCAATACTGGACCAAAGGTCTCAGTATAACAAAGCTTCTTTTGTTTCTGTGTCTTGCTGCCAACTCCAACTTCTTGGAGGCAACAAGACAAAGGGCCTTGTTGATGGTACCCCCCCCCATTTATGGAATGCTTCCCCACAGAGCCCACCTGACACCAGCTTTGCCTTCCCTTTGGCACCAGGTCTAGACAGACCTCTGTGCTAAGCTGTTTTAAGGCATCTCGGATTATTTAATGTCTTGATATGGGCAGTCATGTTAGTGTTTCAACAGGTCTGTTCTGTATTAAATTTATTTTGGGTGTTTTTGCTGTAAATTCTTGTTATTTAACTGTGCTTAAATTCTTTACTGTATTTTATTGTATAATTGTCTTGTTTGAAAAAAAATGTAAACTACAAACTCTTGTTTGTAAAATTTGTAAACAAAAAAATTTCATCTATCTAGCTTCATCTGTCTGGCAGTATAGCATGAAATATATACATAATAAAAGTGTGTGTTTTCTGGTGTATTTCAGTTCTTTCTAATGTCTTCCCTCTTTTTCCTTTGTGTAGTGACAGTGAGATGGAAATGGAGGCAGAACACTACCCTAATGGAGTCCTGGAGAATTCTGCCACAAGAATAATGAATGGCACTTACAAGCATGAAGAGATCCTGCAGACAGATGATTCCAGCATGGGTAGGGTTTCAGTTGGAAGACATGCCTTCTTCCTCCTCCCAAAATGCAGTAAATTTAGAAAGTGTGGGTGATGCTTCTGAGGGCAGGTGGAAACAACCTGGTGCCCTCCAGATGGTTTGGGCTATGGCTCCTACAATTCCTCCTCATTGGCCATGCTAGCTAGGCATACAGGAGCTGTAGCCCAAAACTTCTGGAAGTCACCAGGTTGGCTTCCCCTGCCTTAGGGAAGCAGTGCTGCCCAGTCAGGTGCAGGGAATGCTTACCAGATTTGCAGATGACACAAAACGGGTGGGATAGCTAATATTCTGGAAGAGAGAAAATTCAAGGTGATCTTGATTGGAGCTGGACTGAAAACAGTGGAATGGAATTCAGTAGGGACAAATGCCAAGTTCTGCACCCAGGAAAAGGGAACCAAATGCATTGTTACAAGATGGGGATACTGCAAGCGAGAAAGATCTCAGAATTGTTGTAGATCACAAGCTGAATACGAGTCAACAATGCAATCTGGCTGCAAAAAGAGCAAATGAAATTTTAGGCTGTATTAATTATCACTTCCAAATCCCTTGAAGTACCAGTTCCCCTTTACTCAGCACTGCTTAGGCTTCGTCTGAAATACTGTGTCCAGTTCTGGACCACAATTTAAGAAAGATGCAGATAAGCTGGAAAAGGTTCAGAGGAGGACTGATTAAGGGACTGGCAACAAAGCCCTATGAGGAGAGATTGAATGAGATGAACATGTTTGGCCTTGAGAAGACTGAGGGGAGATATGATAGCACTATTCAAGTACTTGAAAGGTTGTCACAAAGAGGAAGGTTCGGTTCTCTTATCAGTCATCCCATACTGCAGGACATGGAATAATAGGCTCAAGTTATAGGAAGCCAAGTTCCAGCTAGATTTCAGGAAAAACTTACACTGTTAGAGCAGTACAACAATGGAACCCACCCTAGAGGCATTCAAGATGCAACTGGACAGCCATCTGAAAGGGATGGTTTAACTTGGAGTCAGGGCTGGACCCAGTGGCCCTATGGCCCCTTCCAACTCTACTGTTTTATGATTCTATCAATCCAGAAATTCACCATATCAGGAGAAGGCAGCAGCTGCAGAAATATTCAGACATGGTTCTATGTGGACATACTTTGTAAATCTAATTGCTAAGACTGCATTTCAGTGTGAATTACAACTTCAGAATTGAGGAGGTGCAGCCAAAGCTGGAAACTCAGAAACCAGAAACAGGTCTGGATTATGCATTCAGTGTTGGAGTCGTTGTGAGATTCTTGTTAACACACGGGAATGGAATTAATAGCTTTCTGGGGAACAGATGGGGGAGATTGCTTGGTGTTGTGTAGCCACTCTGTTCATCTTCCCTTCTTTTCTTGCTTTAGAAGACAGCTGTCCTCAGAGGCAGCTCTGTGGAGGAAACCATGCTGCCACTGAGCGGATGATTCAGTTTGGCCGGGAACTGCAGACCCTGAGTGAGCAGCTGTGCAGAGAGTATGGGAAGAATACGACGCATAAAAAAATGTTGCAGGTGTGCCATTTGTCCAACAGCTCTTCCACATTCATGGCTACAACAACTTCCACTTTATTATTCATTCAAAATTTTTCTGTCCCACCATTCAGTATAAAACTGCCACTGTTCAGTGGCTTATAGTATTTAAATTTAATTTCATATTCAATAAAAGTACATTTTAAAAAGCATCACAAAGGGGATGTTAAAAGGCAACAAAACCATCTAGAGCACTAAGGCAAAACAAACCATTTAAAAACCCTGGAAAATAAGAGACTTTTGACCCGGTGCCTCCAGGTCATTCGTATTGACAGAAAGGGAGCCAATAAGAGGGAGTTTTCCACAGACGAGGAACCACCACCAAGAAGATCTTGTCCCGGTCCGTCTCCCCACTCCAATTGGGCATCAGGAGGCACTGGACTTGGTGCAAGGAGCAGGCACCATTCAGAAAGGAAAACCTAAGTCTGCTTTTCTATCATAATTTTCCATTGGCAGGGCTTCCTGCAGTGTGAGGGGAGCTTGTTCCAGCCATACCCCCGTTAAGTGATGGTCTATCCTAGCTGAGGAAGGGGTCAGATTCCCCGCAAGCCAATCTGTTCGCTGGTCTCTCCTTTCCCTTCCCCTTCTTCAGTTTTGTTGGTTAGTGCAATGGTTTTAAAGGGATATACAGAAGTACCAGTGAGGGGTTAGATTCCTCCATATATCTCTCCCACTGGTTCAGCTCTGACATCATGCCCGATCATGGTTTAAACTTAACTGTAGTTAAAATCCCAAGGCATAAATTGAGCTTCCAAACGTACTATCACAATTCAGATTCGCTTTTCTGATTTTATGTCTGCCCTCTCAGAATTCACCTGCCTCTGAAGTGTGGCAGACTCTGGAAGCCCAGTGGTAAATACAACTATGGTTTGTCAAGATTCCTTAATCACGGTTTTTTACAGTGTCTGAAATGAGCTATTGTGTATCTCGAATGGATCAAAAATCAACGGTCAAATGATTCGTCGACTGTTGGGTGCAATAGAACAGGCAGCCTTTCACCCTCTGAGTTCAGAAAAGTTTCAGTCCAGCATTTTAAGGTAGCTTGGAGAGCTATATAGCACCATATCCCTGAAATGCCTTCAGATCTGCTTCAGAAAAGAAAGTGCTTGTGCCAAACTGAGCCCGTTTTAGTTCTTCATTTGGGGAGGCTCAGTTGTGTGTGAAGATGCACTGAGACGTTTGGAAAAGCCGGGTGTTGAAGTACGGGCGGTGTTTGCAATGATTTTCAGCTCCATCTCTCCTCTCCCTCAGGATGCATTCAGCTTGCTAGCCTATTCTGATCCATGGAACTGTCCTGTGGGTCAGCAGCTGGATCCAATCCAGAGGGAACCTGTGTGTGCTGCACTCAATAGTGCTATATTGGGTAAGTTGGTACCCGGGGAGGGAGCACGGGTATCCCCCTCTCTTCCAAGCATCGTGAGGCAGCCAATGCCAGAGGAAGTTCGGCAGGGTTTTCACTGACCACCTCAATTCTTTCTCGTGTATTTTGGGGGTGGGAGCAGGGAGTGGGACCCAGCTGTCCAGGGCTGATTGATTCTGCAGAGGAAACAGGAGGGCAAAAGGAAAGTTTTAATAAGCTCTTGTTTAGCGTCACTGGGACAGTTGTTAGTCAAAACAGATTTTTGGTCACATGGCTGCTTCCACACAGGGAGCTACTTAGGCTTCTGCATAGCAGCTGCTCTGTGAGGTGGCCATAATGCGAGAGCAGTTTCCTGGCACTTTCCTGTGCTTCCAGGAGCATAGCATGAGTAGATGCCATGATCTGAAGAGTGGCTACACTAAGCCATGACACATGCGCTTCCTAGTTGCACAGTGAAACGTGGTGAACTGGCGACAGCGTGAAAGACGTAGAAATCCCCAGGGTGAAATTCCCCTGCACCCCACCTGCAGACGCACCGCACGGCTTGGGACAAAGGACAGTCTTTCTGCTTCCGAGTCTGCTATGGGGGCACCATAGTCCTTGTCTGCCTTTACAGGGCCTTTGTAAAGTTTTACGGTGAAGAGTTTGGATGCCCCATCAAAGCCAGTGACTACCTCCAGCTAAATGAAGGTGTCTTCATTTTTGTCTGTCACTTTTGAGTTGGGGGGGGGGGTGCTGGTAGGGATTAGGGAGGGGTGGGAAGCAAGGGGAGGAAAGGATGTACTGTCTGTGAATGGCACATCCTTTGCACCTCCCCACCTATTTTTTAATCCATCTCTCTCTCTCCCCCTCCCCTCCCCGCCCCCTCTCCAGAGTCTCAGAACCTGCCAAAGCAGCCCCCACTGCTGCTCGCCCTGGGCCAGGCCTCGGAGTGCTTGCGGCTCATGGCCCGCGTGGGCTTGGGCTCCTGCTCCTTTGCCAGAGTGGACGACTATTTGCACTAGCCACTGAGTGAGACAGAGTGACCCCGCCAGTGCTGCCCCCTCTCCCTGCCTCGCGCGCTCCCACCATCCCGCCCCTTCCGCCTGCCTTCCCACCTGCTGCCCAGCAGAAGGACACGCTGCTGACCGGGGGGGACCCTTGTTGCGCCTTCATTTCGTTCCTCGGAAACTGCTGGCAGGGCCCCCCGTCGTCACCACAGCCTGCTCTGCCCTACATCTCCTGCAGCACTCAGCATCTTCACTGGTCATTCTGATGTAGCGCCTTCCGACTTTAGGATTTTATCTTTATTTTATTATTTTATTTCTCTGACTGAGCCACCAGTATTTATATCTGGAGAGTTTGTGCTGAGCTGGTTTCTACTAATTTAGAGATAAACGTGTGTCTGAGTTGGTGGTGGCCTGTTTTTATTTTCACAAGGAGAAACTGTTGGCAAGCTTGCCAGTTGCGCAGTATTGCTCTGTAGTTCCGGTCCTCTTGAGGGCGAGCCGTCTTGGTGTGTTTGTTGGATTCCACCCCTTGCCAGCAGAGCTTTCTTGTTCAACAGAATTTTATTTCCCCCATACCATGGGACAAGAATTCTCTGCTTAAAAGATGATAGTTGTAAAGTTTCATCCTGGAGAAACCTGAGTATAAGAATCAAAAGTGCTTGGCACCTTGGGCAGGCCAAGTCTTCCCCAATTTGATGGCTTGCAGATGAGCTGGACAACAGTTTCCATAATTCGCAGTCAGCATGGTTCTGTTTGCTGAGAATGATGGAAGTTGGTAGTTGAACACAACTGGAGGCCATCTGGTTGGGGAAGAGCAGATCAGCCCTTTAGTACAGAGATAATCTGCTAACCCCCAACCACCCCTGATGTCAAGGAGATGCTGTTGACGCAGAGGAATCAGTCAGAGCAAGTGGTCCAAGCCCACTGCAGTGAGGCAAGCACTTCCAGTCTGATGGGGTCATTTGGGTGACAACCAGCATCTAACAAGTAGGGCTTGCCCCACAGCGTTGTCCCCGACTGCTTCATTGTGCTGCCATCCAAATGGTGTCTTTCCAGTGGAAGGGAAAATGGAGGCTGTGTGTGTCTGCAGTCTCCTTTTGCTGCTTGTGAAGGAGGCCCTTTGCTAGGGGCTTTAGCCTTGGCTGGTGGCTGCCACTTCAGTGCTGTTGAATTCTCTGGATCACTGGCTCATCCCAACTGACCCAGCCCCCAGTCTAGCTTTTGGGGCTCAGCTAGATACACGGGGAGCCAGCATACATCTCCCTTACGCCTATGGATCTTGGATTTTATGCTGACCTTCAACTTTCAGATACCTCTATGACAATAGTATACAAATCTTATTTTTCCCTGCTTAATCACCAACTAAAATGTGAAATTGAGGACACAAGCCAATGTTTCTTTTCCTTTAAAAAAAGAAAACTTCTTGTTTTTACCCCAGTGAGTAGTTGTCATTAATTTTTCTTGTTGGACCATCCATTTCCAAACCAACTCATTACAGAAATCAGCTAGATGCTATGAGTAGAAAACCAACACACTAGCTTACCTTATCTGAAGGTGTATATATGTATTTCTTGCAATGCACATCAGGAGAGGTGGTGTTCTGAAACCCATTTTGTCTGGAAATAGTGTGGATAATGAACTTAATAATCACAGACTTTCTGGTATATTTCAGTACCTTGTCTCTCTTTTAAGACACTTTTCAAATAAAGAACTGAGAAAAACATTTTCCATAAATTCACCAAGCAACCCATTTCGTTAAAGTGGACTTCAGGGTTGCAGAAGTTTATGTAAGAGAAATTCTTGATGTGACAAATAACATCTCTCCCATTTAGGTAGAGAACAGTAGTCACACTAGAAGGAAAATGGCACTTGGGTTTGGGGCATGAGCAACGTACCCGCAGACATATGTGAAACACACTTGGAGCATCTCCTGTACAAGCACCACTGACGGGAATGGGAATTGTGCCAGTTAATGGGAATGTTTGTACAGAATTGCAATTCATTTCACAGCAGAGACGTTCTCTGTATGTTCCTTCTACAACAAGCCTTTGCATCTGGGTATGGACATAAAGGACATGTTTGAGCATTAGATTGGAAGAGAGCACAGTGCTTCATCCTTCGCCGAACCAAACCGAAAATTAGTGAGAAGTACTGTAAGAAACAAAGTATAAAACCAAAGAGATGACTGTCGAACAAACAATTTTTAATTCTTGATTTATTTCCCTTTTTCTTTGACTTGTTTGATAGCATTGCAGAAGTGGCTATAACTGCACTCTGGTTCTGGTTAAAGCAAAGCAAAATATTTTAAGCGCCACTTGCTGAAGGAGAACTCCTCCATCTTTGTTACCCATTTGCCAGCTGTCAGCGATGGCTGGCATTGCACCACCATGACTGACCAATGGCAGCATGATTCCTGAATGTGTTGCTTTTTTCTGTGTTTAACTATTCTGTCTTGCCTTGTACTTTCATAGGAGTTTTCAGCATTAGTATATGTATTTTTAAATCATGCAGTGAAATTATAATACCATGAAATGGATGTCCAGTCAAAGCCAGCTTAAAAACACAGATTGATTTTTTAAAAATCCCACTCTAGTATCATCTTCAGCCACGCATCTTAGAAGGCAAATGCTGTGCAAACAGACATGTCTGCATCCTGTCCTGAATCCCATTCACTGTGGCAGCTGCTTTACCATTTGTCCTTTGCCTCTGGTTGCTGTTTAAAGCATTTCACATTTGAGGGTTTCCTTTTTAAATTTTGCCTGTTCTGGGTGAGTCTTAAGGAAACTCTCTTTCCTTGCCTTGGTACAGATTGCTTCTCTGTTCCATCTTGTTTCCTTTGGTTTCTATATCCTTCCTTCCTTTCACAAAGTTGCTTTCAGGGGCTTACTTGGGTTGATGACCTTCTCCTTTTTCTCAGTTGTGGCTGGTCTGACATTTGACTTGACAGCCCCCAGTCTTTTCTTCCATTTTTGCATTCTCAGTAAAGTTTCTCAGGCAGCAAGCAACATAATCCAACTTAACCCCATCAGCATTGGTTTTGTGAAGTAATTTTCTATTTTAAAGAAAAGTTCTATTGTGTGCTCTTGTTCTAAAGCAGTCTGCTTGCTTTGATCATGCAGGCGAGTGTTTGATCTTATGGCCCTGTAGACATTGTAAGTAAACTTCATCACAGTTTAGGAATACAGTCAGTGCCAGTCAGTTCAGTTCATGACTCAAGAATTTCCTTATTGTGGTGGAGCTAATAGTCAGGCCCAGACACCCTCAATGGATGTGGTGGAGATACAACTGTTTGTATGAAAAAGTTTAACAATTGCTCTTAACAAACTGCAGTATATTTTTTCCACTACAATATGTAGTACAGAAAAAATTTGGATGCCATCTAACTGTGAAATGTAAACTTTCCCTTTTGCTGCTATAAAAAATCTGCTTTGGTTGCAGTGTATCTTATTTCAGATTTTCATCTATTTATTTAGTTAATGCTCTTCGAAGTTACAGTGATCAAGAAGAATAGGTTTAGAATTACAGAGTTCACATCATCTTCCTGTTCCTGGACATTCACCATATAAATGAAACATGGAATTGAAAGTTCCTAGTTACTGTGTCTGTAGAGTCTGCACTGGGAAACCTCAGCAGCTCCAGAATCATCTTACTTTGTAATTCAAGAGTGGAACTGACTCTTTGTATTACTGACCTTGTTGGGAAATGCTGCATTAAGGAGTGCTCCCATATCGACAGATAAAGCAACACTTCTCTCTATCATATAGAAGTCCCACCTCCCTGAAAGGATGGAGGGTTCTCTCATCTTGTATAGTAAGGGAAATTGTGACATAAGTGGAGAGGTGGTTTTGTAGTGGAACAGCCCCAGGTCCCTGGATCTTGACTGAGAAAATGATCTCACTGAGGCTTGTGAAAACCTTCCTGTTGCCTTGGTAGCAGACTTCCATCTCATTTTCTGTCTTCACAGTGAGGCCTACCAGGGCTCCGCTACATCTTTGATTCTGTAGGCTTTTATATGGCAGTGTCAAAGATGACACCTTCTGGCAATGTTATATTCTGGCAATAAGTTTGGCAATGTAACATTCTGGAGTATTATGAGATTCAGATCCAAGAATATTGCTCTTTTAACCAGTAGCCAAAGAAATCTTCCCTTCATCAGACAGACTGCTTTTCACACTGGGCCAGAGCTGGCCATCTGGATGGCAGCAGCCAACCCTGAGAGTTAAAAAAATGTGAAGGGAACAACAGGTATGTCACGGGGGTTTTCTGGCCTGCCATTGGCAAGCTGGCATTGGGGCTTTGCCACCACATTTTCTCGATTCTCAGCAAAACTAGTAGCTGATTTAAGATTCTGGTAAAAATAAATTTACTTGTATAGTGGGCTGGCATTGCTTATGGAAAGACTCTTGAGGTTTATTGGAATGAAAATTTTAAGATTTATGCAAAGTTGGGAATATTTAAGGTTTCGATCATTGGGTTGAGGAATCTTTTGTTTGAATTTTTAATTTGGGGTGCATGTATCCTCATCTTGAATGTGCAAGCAGCAACATGTTTGGTGGCTGTCAGGCTGTGACTGGATTACATCTTCAAACTCGAGCAAAGACAGGAAGCAACCTAAAGAAGTACAGGTTCTAATTTAACTCCTCCCCACCTTTTCTCCAGTTGTTCAGAACTCAGGTAACCAGCTCAAGCATGGAATGTCAGGACACTTTTGTTTCATTATTTTTAATAGCATCAACTGTAAACAAAAAACCCAACCACCAAATAAACAGGCTGAGCAAACCTCAGTTCCACACGGCATCTGTCATCACTTGGAATTTTCTCTTTGTGGACATCCTGCCAAGCTGTGCACATCGGTTCAGTCTCTGCTTAGTATTTGTGAGTTCAGTTATCCAACGCTAGCATGAAACCTTCCAGAGGGAGGAAATTTTAACTGAAGAAAAAATATTGAAAAAATGTACTGGAAATATGGTAAAGAAACTCACATTCTGTTGTATTTTGACAGAATTATTTTTATTAAAATATACATCCATGTGCAACAGCCAGTGTCCTGTGTCACTCTCCTGTGTGCCCTTCTGGTGCTTCTGATGTATGTTGTCTGCCTGAGAAAGGATAACTCCCCGGTAATGTCTGTGCTTTGCATGCCCAAAAGTCCCAGGTTAAATTTGTGACATCTTCAGATAGGGCTGGAGATTGGGAAACGTTCCTGTTTGAAACCTGGAAGAACAACTGCCACTCAGTGAAGGTAATATTGAGCTGAAAGGACCAGTAATCTAACAGAGCAATCCTAGGGCCCCTAGACAATATCTGGGAGGCCACAGGGTTTGTTGGATGCCCAGATTCTTGTTCAGAAAACAGCTCCAAAGTAAGACCTGAGGATCCACACCTGGACCCTCCTGGCGTAGAACGATCCATGCTTGCTGCTTTTCCGAGGCTATAGGAGTAACCTAGAGAAGAGGCTTAGGGGAGTGCTTTGTGTGGAGAGGAAGAGACAGGTGGTGCCAATACAGAATGCGTCTTGTATGCACTCCAGGCTGCACCTTCCTGCCATCTCACAAAGTGCTGTAGTTAAATGGCCAAAATCAGCCAACCAGCGTTTTTTCAGGATGGAAGGAGTGTAGGTGCAGCCTTCCCCTCCATATCCCTCCTATACTGATCAGGGTGCCTGAAACCTCTCAGTACAGAGGGCCATGAGTATCCCAGTGAAGCCCATCCCTAAGCTGGTATAAGGCAGGGTCTTCTAGATGTATGTGTGAGGCTCATACCTCTGTGCACTGAGGTTTTTATTTATAGGCCTATGCAAAAGCCTGCACTGGATTTTTTTGGTGTGGTTTCTGACCCTTAAATATGTGGTTAATTGTGGTGGTTGATTGGATGAATACACCAGTACAAAACTGTGAAGTCAAGCTTCAGATTTGAGAAACTGGCAAGTACGTACATATTTAACTTTTCACTTATTTCATGTCCTAGATGTTTGTGTTTTCTTCAGGTAAGCTAGCACCATGAATTTCAAGGTTTGAAGAAATTCTTAAAGTGACAAAACAAAAAACTCACACATCCGTGACATCTAACATACTAAAACTCAAAATATAAATAACATTAATATCAAAATTCACAGCATCTCATTTAATAACCATTATGAGAAAATAAATTGTAAGCCACTCAGGGTGGTTTAAGGCATAGCAGCAGTGGCTCAATTCTAGGTTTCAAGTAACTTGGCATGGGTGAGAAACCAGGGCTGTGCAAGCTTTCCAACCAGAATTGGTATGGAACTGTAGGTATTTGTCCATTAAGTTAAAGATTTACCTTAACTGTTTGCTAAAACTGCAAACAAGCCATAATTCTGTTTGTGTTTTCTTCCAGACATTTGAAAAAGCTTACGTTTCTTTGATTAAACCAAGACATCTATTTGCCAATAGAATATAGTCTGAGCCTTCTGCATGAAGATAGATGCCAAATCTAGAAACAAATTGGTAGAACTTCTAAGTTGGTTTGCTCTTTGGAAATGGCATCATTTGCCATTCCAGTCAAGAATATGTTTTTAAAATCTTAATATGCTGAAGGCAGAGTCTGTCCTATTATTTGATTGCTGGTTGCAGTTAATTGAAACACATGCCTGTGAGTCAGTTGACCATCTTCCTTTGCTTTCAAACACTTTGAAGAACAAAAAATAGCAACCAAAAGGGTACTCCATATCACATCTTTTTGCTGGGAACTCCTGGGAATATGGAGTCCTGCCTCTCTGAACAGGCAGTTGGCCAGGGTTCAGCAAAAGATAAGAAGATATATAAAAGAATCGGAGCCAACAAATAAAAAACTGGAGGTTATACTTGGCTCTTCTTAAGAAATTATCTTCAAAAGCTGATGCCTGTTATCAAAGAACTCTACAAGTCACCTGTTTAGGCCATTGTTCTAGTGTTACAAATGAAGGATAAACATGTAGAGTAAGTTTCTGAGAAGTACAAGCTTTGCATGCCATATTTATAAAATAAAATATTTAACAGAGTCATAGAGTATTAGAGTCAGAAGGGGCCAATAGGGATATACAGTACAACCCCCTGCTCAATGCAGGAGTCCATTAAAGCATCCCTAACTGTCTAACTGTCTTAAGTGCTTCCAATGTGGGACAGCCCATGACCTCCATTGATAATTGGGTGCATTGCTATACTGCTCTAACAGGAAGTTTTTCCTGACATCCAGCTGGAATCTGGCTTCCTGTAATGTGAGCCCATAATTCCATGTCCTGCACTCTGGCATGATTGAGATCCTGGCCCTTCTCTCAGTGACCACCTTTCAAATATTTGAAATGTGCAATTATATCTCCCCCAGTTTTCTCTTCAAGCTATACGTGATGTGTTCTTTCAATCTTTCCTCATAGGACTTTGTTTCCATCTGATCATCTTTGTTGACCACCTCTGAATCTTTTCCAGTTTTTCTGCATCTTTTTTAAACTGGTGCTCAGAGCTGGAAACAATAGTCAAAATGGAGCCTAATTAGTACCAAATAAGAGGGGAAACCGTACTACATGTGATTTGGAAGTTAGACTTCTATTGCAGTCCGAAATAGCATTTGCTTATTTTGAAGCCACATCACATGGTAGGCTCATATTCAGCATGTGACCTATAACAATTCCAATATCCTTATCACTTATCACAATTCCAATTTCCTTATCTTTATCACACACCCCATCTTATAACTGTGTATTTGTTCCTCTTTTTAATTTTACTGTAAATTATAATCTATACAAAAAGTATAGCAAGACAAGACCAACAAAAACAAAATAAGAAGTTCTCCATATCAAATGATAGTTCTTTAAAATAGAAATAATGAGCTGCCAAATGTTCCAATTAAAATTCAACTTTACACTTGTGCTTCTAATTTTCTCTCTGAATTTATGAATGGAGATGAAGTAATCCCATTAACACAGTGATCAATAGCATATATATATTTCCAGTTCTGCTATGTATGACAGCAGTGATCTCATTGATTATAATGTTACAGATTTTTACGAAGCTGATCATAAAAAAATTGGATTTCCGGTTCTGTACTGTAAGCTTCCTTAAACATTGCGGGCTTATCAAGGCTGTCGGAATCTGGGTGGCTCCAGGGGTCCATCTGGTGGCCAGAACCAGAATTGCCACTGTAGTATTTGCACGATTGGTGCCAGGCCCTGCTGGAGCTGCCTAATGAACATCAGCCGAGAAACCTGCTGCAGCACGATATCAGAGTAAGCTCTTCCCTCCACTGCCTGACTCAGTAATTCAGGTCTTCCTGCTTGTTGTGTGCGGCATGGTTTGGTTCCTGCATCTTGCCTGCTTGCTACACCTTCTGCCACGCCTGAATCCTGCCTGGTTTGCCCTGTCTCAGGTACCTGTTCCTTGTCTGTCTTGATTACCGCTGTGCTCCCTGCTCCAGTTCTGGATTTCAGGCTTGCTCATGAGCATGCCCTTGCCTTGCTGGGATACGCCTGTTCCTGCTGTGGCCCATTCTTTGAGGATGACTGCCTCCAATTCCACCACCAGCCTCCCAGCAGTGTTTTGACCCTGCCCTGCCAAGACTGCTGCCAGGCATGCCCCAGACCCTGATGAAGAGTCTTTTCTTTCTCTTTTTAAATTCTTCTCAGGTCTAACAATAAAGCCATTTCAGGAGTAGGTTTAAAATTGTTTCCCCAAGCTTCTCATAACAAACTTAGCCACAGCAGACTTGCTCTCATAGAAACATAGAAACAGAGTGAGTCAGAAGGGGCCTCCCGGGCCATCTAGTCTGACCTCCGGCACCAGCCGGCTCTGCTCACAACATGCCCACCATGTGGACGTCCAGCCTCTCCTTGAACACCCACACCGATGGGGCCTCAATGACCTCTCGTGGAAGCCCGTTCTAAACCCTCGGGGTCCTGACTGTCAGGAAGTGCTTCCTGGCATCCAAATGGAACCTTGGCTCCCTGAGCTTTGCTCCGTTGGAGCGCGTCCTGCCTTCCTCTGCAGGGGAGAACAGGTCTCTACCCATCTCCG